GCGATCGGCGTCGGTATCCAGGGGGAATAGGCAGGGCTCGGAATCCGGGGACAGTCAGGAGGTCAGGCGATCGGCGTCGGTATCCAGGGGGAATAGGCAGGGCTCGGAATCCGGGGACAGTCAGGAGGTCAGGCGATCGGCGTCGGTATCCAGGGGGAATAGGCAGGGCTCGGAATCCAGGGACAGGCAGGAGGTCAGGTGATCGACGTCGGCAGTAGGAGGGCTTGGCGAAGAATCGGTGGTCGGGAAAGAACAGAACAGAGGTCAGGGAAACAGGCAGGCAGAGGTACAGACAGGCAGGGAATAAACGCTCGAAATTCGCACTGAAGGCTGAAGATCTCGCGTCTGGTTGACGTGCCAAAACCGAATAAAAAGTCTCTCAATCACTCCGATCGGTATCAGCTGGGCGAGGAGGGCATACGGTAACTGGTCCTGCCGGTTCTCGGGACCGGTATGGAAGAAGCACTCCGGCTGCTGCTTGACTCTCGTGTAGGGAAACCCTGAGGGCGTGGCAGGGGAACCCTGCGTGATGTCATAGGGGCTTCCCCTGAGCGATCCATGACAAAGCGAGCTCGATGGGCTGAATGGCCTCCTCTCGTTTGTATAGTTCTTATGTTCTTATGAGTTTTGGCTATTGGCAGTTTTGTTCCAGGAATGAGGTTTCACGTTTTAGCAGTTCAGAAAAAACTATAAACCAGAGAATTTTCCCCTTACTACCTTAATCACATACACCACCTGCTGACCAGCCCCGTTCATTGCATTCTTGAAATTTACCCCTTAAGGGCTGACTTCCAATTTTACAAGGGTGTCAATTTTTTGAGGGATGGGGAGGGTTGTGACTAGCTTAATAAGGTCAAACTGTTATAAGCTGTGCATGTACCAGTGTTTGTGTGTGTGTGTGTGTGTGGTCCTCGTATACCTTACGTTGTGGGGACCAGATGTCCACACAATGTGATAAAAACCTGTTATTTTGATGTTGCATTTTTTCGATCCCCTCAAGGGGAAATTCAATTTCATAAAAATATGTGACTGTAGTAAAAAACCTAAAATAGCCATAAGTCTTGTATTTTGTTTGGATACTTATGGTTAAGGTTAGAACTGGGTAGGGGTTCAGGTCGTCATTGTTTTGCCATTGTTTTGGATTAGGGTTTTGCCCATAGAACTGAATGGACGGTCCACAGAAAGGTTTGAATACAAACGTGTGTGTGTGGATCAGGTTTAAAACCAGGATCAAATGTCTCCCACAATATAATAAAAACCTGTTTTTTTGACCTTGTGGGGACCATTTTTCAGGTCCCCTCAAAGATCTATGGATGCAATCAAAAAAGTAAAAATGCCAAAAGTCTCATATTCTTTTTGATTATTCGTGGTTAAGGTTAGAGCTTGGTAGGGGTTAAGATCGTCATGTTGTGGTTATAGTTTTCCCCATAGAAATGACTGGAGAGTCCCCACAAAGATATAATTACAAACCTGTGTGTGTGTGTGTGTGTGTGTGTGTGTTTGTGTGTGTGTGTTTGGGTGTGTGCGTGCATGCGTGCGCGCGCGCGCACGTGTGTGTGTGTGTGTGTCCAAAATTTATTCATGCCCACATGTGCCTGACCCAGGCCAGGCACTGATGCATGTCCTTGAGAAGAACCTGAACCAGGCAGCTGGGGTGCGGCCAGGTGTTCCCCACTTCCTCCTACTGCTCACGGACGGCAAGTCCCAGGACGATGCCATCGCCGCAGCCAGCAAGCTGAAGAGTGCAGGAGTGGAGATCATCGCCGTGGGTGGGTGGTGTGGGCGAGGCTCCGGCGATCCCACGCATGCACATGGTGGGGGTGGATATCTCTGAATCTCAGTCTCTGCGTGAGATCTGAGGACATTAGGCATGCAGGAACATGCATAGTTTTAGCTAATTCTCTGTGTACCTTTAGTAGTTTTTACACATTACACATTATACACTAATGTCCTTAAATTGGGAAAAACATGCCTAAGGCATTATTAATGGTAATTAAAGATAAACAAATAATCACTTTGTTTCAGAAGCAATATTTTTGTTTTCTGTTTAGATTTCATTTTCTTGTTTAATTTCAGTGTACGTTTTAAAATAATTTTTGTTTTTGTTAACAATGCGAACTAGAGCGGCCCTCCTTAACTCTACAAAGAAGAGGGTGCTCATCTGTACGTATGTGTGCCGCCTGTTCTTCTGCCCAGGGGTGAAGAATGCAGACGAGTCGGAGCTGAGGCAGGTGGCCTCAGAGCCAGTGGAACTTAACGTCTATAATGTCAATGACTTCCCCCTGCTGAGCAAGCTGGTCAGCCGCCTGGCACGCATCCTCTGTGGGAAGATTGAGGACCGCAACAAGGCCAAGAGTAAGCTGTAAATACCCCAAGTAGCCCTGAATGATGTGTGCATACACACATGTGTGGTGGAGGCTTGAGATGTGTAGCCTGGTAGATTTTAGATGGACTCCGAGAGTGAGATGGATTGTGTGTAATCATTACCTTTTAGAGAAAGAAGTGAGTAAGATCTGTGGTCTCAGAAAAAAGTCTGATGTAGATATCAGGATATCAGGATCTTGATGATTGTTGATGGTTTTTGTGATTGAATCTTAGGTGTTAGTATTTGTGGTTACAGTAGGGTGACCAGATAATTAATGTCAGGGAGGACACTTTCAGCTTGGACAGGATCTATAAACTGCCATTTTAATGAAAAGCATGATGATTTCACTTAAACAATGAGTGCTTGCTATTAAGCTGATTGGTCAGTCCCCTGTAGTAATCATGCATGTGTCACCAATGTTACAGTTTTTTACAATCGCGATGACAGTTTTTTCAAAACATTTAACAAGTTTCCTAAACTCTTAACACGGTTAGCACAACAT